CAAAAAAAATATTAAGTATCTAGGAATGATTATTGATCCCTTTCTAATTTTTAGGGATCACCTCGAATACGTAAAGAGTAAGATGGAGATCACCTTAAGCAATCTAGCTAAAATAACTCCAAATCTAAAGGGTCCGAGAGCCCAAAAAAGGGCCATGCTGGCGTCGGTTATCTCCTCCATAACCTTATCTAAACATTATTAATAGAATACATAGAAAAAGTGCACAATTAGTTAGCTGTGCATATAGATCGACTGCGGGAGCTGCTGTAGGAGTTATTGCGGGACTTCCACCCCTCGACCTTGTGGCAAAGGGAAAGAAGGATAATTTTAACCTTGGACAAAAATTAATTATGAATAATGTTTTAGGAAGTAGTGCAATCAAAAGAAAGAATAAGGTAAAAACAGAAAAAGAAATCTTAAAAAAATGGCAGGAACATTGGTCCAGCAGGGGTTCGCAGGACAGTGGCGTGTGGACCAGGAAGCTCCTGCCGGATATTCCTGGCTGGAAGAATAGAAAACACGATGAAATAAACTATTACTTGACTCAGGCATTGTCTGGCCACGGGGCTTTTAACCAGTTTTTGTATAAAACAGGGAGAAGGGAAAATCCAGTTTGTACTTATTGTGGAAATGCACTGGACGATGTAGAACATACTGTTTTCCAGTGTAGTTATTGGGAAGATATAAGAAGGATGTCTGAGATCCCTGCAGGAGATGCTTTGTTGTTATCGGGAAATTTAGAGAATTTCCTCTTGAAGGACAGAAAACACTGGGAGGCCTTTTCGGGAGTTGTTACATATATTCTGAGTAGAAAGGAACAGGACAGCAGGAGACAGGGTTATTAACAGGGGTGTAAGGAGATACGATGGAACTGATATATGGAGTCTAATTTTATTTGTTAACCACACTGGCAGGATGATGACGTGCTATGTCACCAAGACTGTCGCCTATGAGTCTTTCGAGGTGCTAGGAATGTTTTGCAGTTTTTTACAATATTATATTATTGTTTATAGTGCCTATAGTACCTACACCGATAGACATGCTTCCATAAATGCCATATAAATCCAATGGAATTAGCTTAGGTGGAGATGTACTGTACCTAGGATCAATGGATAGTGATAGCGGTCTGTTACTACTTGTTCCGTATCTAGACAAGTAGGAGAGGGCGATCCCTAAATTCAAAATCCCAACCGTGAAGTTTTCTGTCTCTCGTCCTCCTGGACGTACCGGAAGATCTCTTTCGGTGCATTCTCGAAGGATCGAGAGACACCAAGAACCCCCCGTTACCGATATAAAACTTATTGGTTCCCGTCGTCGTCACGTCTAATAAGCAACAGCTGATTGGGCCGTGATGACGACAATTACCGCGGATTCTCGAATTTAAGTGATCACCCGACCCTCGCGAACGAGAGTACCAAGCCAATCTTTGTCAACACAAGACGTTATAATCCCGAATAGTAAATACGCGGTGCGCGAAAGCAAACTATTCCGTTTCTATTATACTTGTATAATTTTTGTTCATATCGTCGTCGTTCTAGTGTGCATAAAGTGTGTTCATTTCGTTCTGTGCATTTTTTCGTGTTTAATAAACAGTGTGAAATTTATTTGAACGGGTTATTGAAAACCCCCCGATTTCCCGAGTCCTTTTCACCGATTACCGAACAATAATGTTCCAAAAAAATTTTATACGAAATTCTACGTAACAAAAAGCTGTTAATAAAACGAAAAATTCATATATTCTTCTGTGTATGTATCACCGATTACCGAACACTACTTCTTAATTTACCGAGAGTCGATATTAGAGCATGACGAAAGGAACTTGAGGAAATACGGTACCGACCGCCGCTCGCGACCGTTACCGACTGATGGTAACTTACCGACTTACCGACGAGAAGCGGTATGATACCGACGGGAGGCGGTATGATACAAAGGGTGATCGAATGATATTATTTCTTGCCCTGATAATGTATCGACCAGAACTACTTATCAACTGTGGGGCCTCCCCGTTAGACATTTTGAATTATCGACGAGGAATTTCTGTTTGTGTATAGGATTGCTATCGACAACTTAGAATGGCTTGTACAGAAGAGGCCAGTGACATCTATTGGCCCCTCACAAGTATCTGAAAGACAATCTCCTACAGAGAACGCAGGAGAACTTTAATTAATTAATTTTTAAATGCGAGTATTACTTGCAGGAAAGTTCGTTAACTTGGATAATATTGTGTATCTTGGTGCTAAACTGAGTGGAAAACAGCGATGGTGTCTTTCGTGTGACTAATGTGCGGTGATAATACTTTTAATGGGGTTCGCATCATCCTTGTTTAGGTTCTAAAGTGAGGTTAGACGCGAAAAGAAATAGTCTCGATTCATTAGTTCTGTCAATTAGTTACTTGAATAATCTCTTTAACTCTGCTATCTAGTCAAACATATTATAGGCTAATGGTCTTTTACAAATAGGAACACAGATTACTACACTTAGCTATACACATAGGGTTGTTTGTTGAATTAAAATCAACAGAATAATCAAGAAATTCTATTCCAAGTAATAATGACTATCCCCTGTTATTGGTAAACTTAACCTTCTTAAATTGTTCTACTTTATATTATATAATAGATTTGTTGCTTGTGTTTTCCCTCTAGTATGATCACTAATTTCTAGTCTTTATAGTATTTTTCAGTCAAGAGTTCTTTACTTCTTAGTGATTTAATTTTATTGATGATTTTTACTCTTTCAATCACATTATGAGACTTCTAATGTGTCCTGGAAATTGGGAGATAATGAAGTGATAATAAGAAGTGAATAGAATTGATGGTTTAGAGTAGGATAGTAACGCCAGTCCTAGAAGACCGAACCTGTCAATCTGAGACTTGGTTAACCTTAGGACATAGTTGATACAGTCTTGTCTAATAGGATCTTAACTATGTAACTAAGTAAACACGTAACTATTTATTCTTCTCAAGAATTTATTCTCTTGGGATCTATTTATTTTATCTTATTTTTTACTTATTTATTTTCTTTTAATTAGGCAATTTTACTTCAGCATATACTTGAGAGGTTACCTACTGACTTACTCAATTTTTTTTGTTTTGGTTACATACTTGTTTATTTATTTATTTACTTATATATATACTTATTTAATTATTTATTCATGTACCTTTATCTATTTATATATTTATTTATTTAGTGAGCTATTTATTATTTATGTATTTATTTACTTATTTTAACTGGCTACGAAGCTTCCTATTTAAGATTGTTCGGTAAATGTTCGGTAATCGGTGAAGCGGACTCGGGAACTCGGGGGGGTTTTCAATAACCCGGTCAAATAAATTTTACACAGTTTATTTAACACAAGAAAAACCACAAAACGAAATTGCACACACTACACGCACACGACGACACGACGAAGAAATAATTAGAAAAGTACGATCAAAATGGTAATGTTCGGTTTCGCGCACCGCGTGTTTACTGCTCGGGATTATAACGTCTTCTATTGACTCCGGTTGGCTTGGTACTCTCTCTCGCGAGGGTCGGGCGATCACTTAAATTCGGGAATCCACGGTAATTGTCGTCATCACGGCCCAATCAGCTGTTGCTTATTAGACTATTTTTATTACAATATGAGCGAAATTTCTCCATTTAGTATGTTTGTTTCCTTGTCTTGTTTCACTATATCCCCTTTTGTATTTCAGGTTCAACTTCGTTAACTGCTAAATGATGAGGTTATGTCATTTTTGAGGTTTCAACTAATTTTAACTTAATAAAGTAAGTTTACAGAAAATGTAATGAAGTCTTATGACAACTTAAATTATACAGCGGAAAATGTAATTTACTGATGAATAATAAGTTTCGTTAAATAATTCCTTATAGTGCAAAGAATAAAATAAGATTAGCGTTAATAAGAAATTTAATGTCTAAAATGAATTTAGAGCCAATCATGCGACTTACAGTCTCGTGATGCGCACTGTCTGAAATTATAAGTATTTATCGTAGAATAATAAGCTTTAAAAACGTTCATAAATATTGATATAACAATGTATATTTCTGTTTACAATTTTTATAATGATTTATTGGAATAATGCAATTTTTTTGGCAAGACTGTAGACAGAAATTTTCAAACATTAATCGATTAAAACTTTCACAAATCATTCTTATTATTTTATCTGAAAGTAGAAACGTTATCCTTTCGCATAAAAGTATTTAGTAATGTAGGATCGAAATTATCGAGGATGATGGATTACTGTTTTTTGGGAATAACAATAACAAAATAGTTTTAATAACTTAACAAGAATACAAAATCAACTACAGGCAATTATACAACGACTTTTCCGGACAACTTACTACTTCAACCGTTACGACACGACTCCCTGCGACGCCATGCCATTTTCCTCATTCTCCCTTAGTTTCCGCGTAAAAGGAAACAAATGCCTTGCGACCTTTTATTCTCCCGCTAGTTTTCCGCGCCAAATCATGGTAACGCCGAATGATCTCGGCGCCAATTGTGCGAGTCGCCCGATCGCGCCCGATCGCACCCGACGATCCTCGAACAAACCGATCCCTCAGTAATAATTTTATGTTGTCTGAATATAAAATAAATTACAATTATCTTATTTACTTCTTCAACCGTTTAACTACTGGGACATCTACCTTACTGAAAGAAAGAAAGAGGTTAATTGTAATGTAAAAAGACAGTTGTATAATATAGACGACGCGAGCTGTAGTAAATTTGAAATTTCTCTTATTTGTACTCCAAACATTGTCTAGTGCAACTTCATACATTTTATCAAAATTGCGTTATTCTAATTGGCTTTCAGCGTAATGTTAACAATTTTTTATCGAATCCTCTCGAAATTTTCACAGCATTTTTTAAATTCAATTATCCACTTCTAAATTTAATTATCCATTACATACACAGAAGAATATATGAATTTTTCGTTTTATTAACAGCTTTTTGTTACGTAGAATTTCGTATAAAATTTTTTTGGAACATTATTGTTCGGTAATCGGTGAAAAGGACTCGGGAAATCGGGGGGTTTTCAATAACCCGTTCAAATAAATTTCACACTGTTTATTAAACACGAAAAAATGCACAGAACGAAATGAACACACTTTACGCACACTGGAACGACGACGATACGAACAAAAATTATACAAGTATAATAGAAATGGAATAGTTTGCTTTCGCGCACCGCGTATTTACTATTCGGGATTATAACGTCTTGTGTTGACAAAGATTGGCTTGGTACTCTCGTTCGCGAGGGTCGGGTGATCACTTAAATTCGAGAATCCGCGGTAATTGTCGTCATCACGGCCCAATCAGCTGTTGCTTATTAGACGTGACGATGACGGGAACCAATAAGTTTTATATCGGTAACGGGGGGTTCTCGGTGTCTCTCGATCCTTCGAGAACGCACCGAAAGAGATCTTCCGGTGCGTCCAGGAGGACGAGAGACAGAGAACTTCACGGTTGGGATTTAAATTCAGGGATCGCCCTCTTCTACTTGCCTAGATACGGAACAAAGATTATGTGCAATGATTTGATTTTATGGTGTTTCTCCTGTAAGGAATTGAAGACATCGCCTCACCCTCTGTTATATTGAGAAAAGTTCTAGTTTTGGATTATTTTTATCTGAATACCTACTAACGTAATGGTGGTTTTTAAAAAATTTTGACAAGTTGATGGTATGAAATATCTCGTTTTATTGATTTCACTACTTTATTCCTTATTTTCTTTAAACATAAGACTCAGCGTAATTCTGTTTTAATCTGAATACCTTCTTATTTCTTTCCTTTTTTACTATACTTGTTGAACGACTTTATTGCTATTTGACGTTATGGCATATGCTTTTTGCCCCTAATATCTTTATATAAGCAACAGTCCTAAATGAATATTTGAAAACTTGAATATGTAGCCTTTTTGTACGATATTATCCGCTTTATTGGATTCTATTCTCTCTTAGTGAACGTAGGGCATATCGTTACTGACCCAAGATTATATTCCTATATACTTTTACTCTTATTGTTAGTTAGATTTGAATTTGATTTACGGTGCGTTTATATTAAGACAATAAACAATCGCTGACTGATTTTAGCCTGACTCTTGAATTATTAATGAAGTTACTTTTAACAACTTTTCTCTACTTAAATTTCTGGAGGATACACTACGCTATTCATCCCTACGCCTTTTTGTGCTGGTCTTTGAGCTGTTCTATTGTATGATTAAGGTATTTATACATATTTTAGTAGTCGATAACTATAGATTATTATTTAATCTTTCACTTATCTAATATCTGAAATTCTTGTTACTTATCTTGTGTAGGCTGTCGTACTTACTCAGTGTACTCCGTCGGATAATTTAACCCGATGAAGGTTCCTGCGAATAACTTATTACCTGGATATTCCTGCTTTGATATATTAATACTGCATTTTCCTCTTGTATGCTGGCTTTTCCCTGAAGTATATTGACATCGGTTATTTATTATAATTTTCCCTACTTAATTCCTTATATAATATGTTACTCCTTTATTTCTTACCGTTTGATGTTGAAATTATTTATTTATTTATTTGTACAAATAACTTCTACTAATTCTATGGTTCTCATGGTATTATATGTTCTTATATTGGATTTGGTTTGTTTGAGTCTATGGATTATTTTATTCTTGACTAACTGGAACCCTCTAACTTATCTTTTTATTATCACAATTTCAACTTGTCTCCTGACAATTAAGTATAACCTAATTTTATTAAAGCACTGAGAATTTTAGATATTTCTAAAATGCTGTACCTACTCTGAATACATATTTTAACGTTGTACAGACTATATGACAGGACAATAATTTCGTGACGACTGTATACGGATTACTATTACTATTACTACTTAAATTCAATAATTCAGATAATTGTCATAGTAATACACATTATTGTGTAAATCTAAAATAGTTCTAAATTTAATTTAAACTAAAAAACTTTGTGAATACGCAAGTGAATAAATGTATATATATTTATAAATTTATAAGCAATTTAAATAGAACTTTAATTGGTTTGGCAAGATTGATTAATCAATCAATTAATTAAAAAATATTATTTAGAAGTAAGAGTTGTGACGGATCGGTGGGGGAAAAGCCCGAAGGGGGTTCCCTAGAGTGGGGGCGGTTAGGGAGAACGGCCCTCCACGCACCGATGCTCACACCCACGGCCGATTTATTTAACGGGGCGCCAGTGCCAATACTCGTCCGTAGTAATCGCCCTTCCGGCTGCTCTGTCGGGAGCGGGAATCAGAGGGGGTCAGAAAAAAAAAATTAGTAAAAGACCCGCGAGTTTGTATCCAACAAAGAGAATGCTTTTATTCGGGCCCCAAGTAGGCTACGTAAGCAGAACAGAAAAAACTATAGTGGACCCCACGCGTTACAGGCAACGGTCGAGGAAAAAGGGATCGACTCACCAGTTGCGAGGGAGGCTTTCGCGGCGCGGGGGCACACGGTACGCGCAAGTACAAAAATAGAGAAATACAAAAAGAATGCTGAGGTATCCGTCCGCGTAGGAACACGCCCTCTGAGGGATCGTGGACAGTAAGGGGACGTTGGTCCTAAATACCAAATACAGCGAAATAATACAGATTAGAGGGAACGGTGTCGTTGTAGACCGTTCGCGGCGATCGTCCACGGCCTCTAGGGTCCTCGTCACTGGGACCAGGGGTCCTATCGCCCTCGCCCACGCGCAAATGGATAATCCAAAAATAATAAAAAAAAATGGGTAAGGAGGTGACTCCTACCTTTTGCGCAGTGGTCTCCAAAAATGTTCCACACAGGGGCGACGGCGACGAAAAATCCTCGCAGGCACACACACACGCACAATATACAAAGAAAACCAATACCGAAAAAAAAGAACGCACTACTAATTAATTGACACACAAATCTGAGACGCAAAATATATAAGAAAAAAAAAGAGAGAAAACGGGCTTTAAAGTTAAGCGGGGCTTCGGCGAAAAACGGGTATATATCGCGACGGCTCGCTTGCTTCTTCTCGATCCGTGATCTTCTTCCCCGGTTCGCGGTATTCCCCCACCCCGGGGATTTCGGCGTCGAGGATGGGCCATCCCATGGTGCATTGCGGCC